CCCGTTCTTCCTAGCCAGGTCTTTTCTCTTTGACTCGATCTGCAAAGAAATCTAACTGGGTGGCAGGACATAATTCATGGCAAGCTCGAGCGTCCAAGCGTTCCTGCCTCTTTTATTAGTATTATTTTTTGCACTTCTGAAGAAGAAAACGTCCGTGCAAAATCCCACATCCTGCAGTCACAGACACACATACACACCCCAGCAGAAGCCAAAGAAACACCGACTCCCTTCTCTCCCCCACCCCCAAGGAACAAGGAAGGCGACGACCCTCCACCATTGCACTGCTGTGAAATTTCCCCTAAATGATAATATAATAATAATAAAAATAATTAGGAAGCAGCCACCTGAGATGGGGAGTTGCTCCAGACCTGCCACTACCACGGGAGGNACACCTGAGGTGGGGAGTTGCTCCAGACCTGCCACGCCCGCGGGAGAAAACCCTGCATCTTTCACTGCAAGAGTGAAAACGCCCTCAGAGCCAAACAGAATCTCTTCATCCTTATCTCCATGCCCTCAGCCAGTGTCAAAAAAAAAGAAGAAAAAAAAACACTTTCCTTCAGGTAACGCCAAAGACTACATTTCCCATCAGGTCTTTCGGCAGCCGTCGCTTTCCCTCCATTCGCTTCTCGAAGAGCCTCGCGCGTTGCATTCTGGGAGGTAGAGGTGTTTTCTTTTAAGGAGGCTGCCTAGGGGAGGTCATAGTCTAGTCTTCTGCTTCCGCTTGCCCCGGATGTGTTTTCTTTGGGGGGTGGGCCGGGGAGGAGGGGGGGTCCTGTCACGAAGGTGGCGCAGGGCTGTACGTCTCTAGACAGGCCCCGCTCCGAGGAGACGGTCCGGAGGTGTCGGTGCCCCCCCGCCGCCGCCATGTTTGGCTGTTTAGTTGCTGGGAGGCTGGTAAGTCGGGGGAAAGGCCGGAGTGGGCGGGTTTCTATGGGGACCACAGAGAGGGGTTGGAGGGGCAACAGGGAGAGAGGAGAGTCCATGGGGTTTCCATGGTGAACGGTGTGGGGCTGCTTGGCTACCTCCATATAATGCAACCCTTCATTCTTTCCATTGACTTTTTCCCCTATTCAGTCTCCCAGCCCTTGCCTATCATCCTCCATGCAAACTGACTTCAATTTGGATTTGGCATAGTCGAGGCAGAGGTATTACAATTATATTTTTAGGAGATTAATTGGAAGAGCAAAGTACCCTCCCCCCCCTTTTCTCCTTGGAAAAAAGGCCCCAAGGATTCACAAATGAAAGGACTGGAAAGGGCTTAACAGGACTGACAAAATAAACAAGCAAGAGGATTCATCGAGAGGTTCTTTATTTTATTAATTTAAAAATATTTTTTTTACTCTGCCTTTCTCCTTGTAAAGGACCCAAGGCGGCTTACAACAATGAAAGACAGTATTTAAACTTGAAAAGAGTGAGTGCACAACAGGGTTTAACGTCATTGGAAGACAGTATTTAAAACTGTGAACAGAGGCAATTTACATCATCATCATCATCAAGCAATATTAAGGCAAGGATCAATAAATATACAGTTTTTAAAATGCCATTCTGAGAAATGGAAAACAGAAAAGTAGAAAACACAGGTAGTACTAAAAATCCAGTCAAACCCATTATAACAATCTGTGTGAAAATCACAAACTGGTAGCTGGTTACAGAGGGAAGCCTTGCTGAGGGTGGTCTGTTTGCAAAAGGGCAGCAAAGATGGGGCCAGCCTGGCCTCCTGTGGGAGGGAGTTCCAAAGTCTGGGAGCAGCAACAGGGAAGGTTCTCTCCTGTGTCCCCACCAAACACACCTGTGAAGGTGGTAGGACTGAAAGGCCTCTCCTGAAGATCTTAACACTCGAGAAGACTCATAAAGGGAGATGCGGTCATTGAGATAGCTTGGACCCAAGTTGTTTAGGGTTTTATAGGTTAAGGCCAGTGTTTTGAATTGTGCCCGGTAACTGATCGGCAGCCAGTGGAGCTGTTGTTGTAACACAGGAGTTATGTGATCCCTGTAACCAGCCCCAGTCAGCAATCTGACTGTCGCATTTCGGACCCATTGAAGTTTCCTGACATTTTCCATCGGCAGCCCCACCTAGAGCACATTACAATAATCCAGCTGGGAAGCAGCAATAGGTACTTGTTAAAAGTAGAGTCAGGACCTGTAGAAATCTATAAAAAGCGACAAGTCATGTTGTGACTTGTTCAGTGTAGCTATTACTTAAATGGTAGTTACCAAATATCTGTGCTTCCCTAAAGGCTAAGGCAGGGATTGAGACACTGGTGAAACTAATCATAGAAAGCTGAATTCCTTGATTCCCAGACCTCCATCTCTCATACAGGTCATTCACCTTTAAACAATTTTGTTTTTTTAAAAAAACCTTAAATGTTTTTTTTAAGCCCACCATCACAATATATTAGAGAGGTGGGCACTAAAGATAGGACCTTTTCAGTGGTGGCCTCAGATCTTTGGAACTTCTAAAAGTATACATACAGTATTATAGAGTATATTACCTCTTCTTTATAGCTCTTGTTTTTAAGTGGTTTTTGAAACTTGCGTAATCATTGTTTTAAAATGTAGCTGAGGCATAGTGGGGAATCCAACTCCCAAGCTCTGTCTCCACAGCCAGATAGCTAAACTACTGAGCAGTTAAGATAAAATATTTAAAATAAAAGTATTGTTTAAAAAATCTACACCAGACAAGCACTATTTTGAAAAAGGCATCCAAACCTGTTTGAGAAAGGATTTGTTCTCAGATCAAAAGTTTTTATTGTTGATTTTTCTAAGTGTAAATGTAACCACTCGTTAAATTGACTAAAATATGTGTACATACTTTATTGAGTAACAGTCTTGAATCAGCTGACATTTTCTATGTAAAACTTGTTTAAACAAGTTGTTTAATACAGTGTCAACCGTGAGATGAACAGGTACATCAATTTACTGTTCTTTTCTTTACTGTATTTAATTACTGAGTCCTTATAGGGAAAGTAAGGTTGCTACAACGCCACCTGTGATGTCTGTTCAAGCAAGGTTCAGAGTCTCTCCATTTAGACTTGCTTAGCTGGCCTGCCTTGTAGTACTGTAGTGAGCATGAATCAAAGGTTGTATTTAATTCCACCCATCCTGACTTCTCTTCACAAGGATAAAGCAAGGGTTGTATGCTCTTCTTATGAGACCAGACATAATGAGGAATGAGGAAGAGAATCATGTATGCCACTTTGAACTTGTTGGGGAAAAGGCAAGATATACATGTAACTAATAAATAATATTCTTCTGCACAGAGTTATTTTTTTCTGCAGAATACGGTATTGATAGTCCAAATTCACATTTTGTTCTATGTTTTTGCTTTAATAGGTGCAGACAGTTGCACAGCAAGTGGCAGAAGACAAATTTGTGTTCGACTTGGCTGACTACGAAAGCATCAACCATGTCGTGGTCTTCATGCTGGGGACCATACCCTTTCCAGAGGGCATGGGTGGATCCGTCTACTTCTGCTATCCTGATGAAAATGGGGCGGCAGTGTGGCAGCTGCTAGGGTTTGTCACAAATGAAAAACCAAGTGCCATCTTCAAAATTTCAGGCCTAAAATCTGGTAAGATGAGTAAACAATGCTGTTGGAAGCTAGGAAGGGGTTACTGTAGAGCTGAGTTCATCCTTTGTGATAGTTTGTTTAGAAGCACAACATAACTGTGTTCACCATTTTTTACTGGTGGGATTAAATGAATGGCTCTTTAACCACTTCCTCTCTGAACAGTTGTTACCAGTCTTTGGTTACTCTGAGTGTGATCCCTGAAACTTTTCCCTGTGGCCCAACTAATCACCTGGCTGGGTGGAGCATTGACTCCTACGTTTGCACAGGTGTATATGTCCTTGTGTGCATGTTTGGTTGTTGAACGCACAAATGACACTGGATACAGCTCTCAAGACTCAAGAGGTTGTGTTCCCCTAAAGGGAAAACACTAATCACAGGGTGGATCTGAAGCAGAAAGAATTTTGTTGGTGTCTTAGTTAGTGTTGCTGCTCCTTCAGTCCTTGCAGTTGAAAAAACTGTCATCTGCACAGCCTCTGTAAAATCCAGAAGGGATGTATCTAGGAAACACCTCTTCATTCTCAAAAAGTACCCTTTGGGACCTTTCAGAACCAATGGCAAAATCTTTACGCAGCCTAATAAGCCTGGGGAAAAGAATAGCTGAAATTGCTCTTTAGGGAGAGTCCTCCAAGCATATACTGCCATATGCATTCTGATATTACATGTTATATTGGAGAAGATGGCAGGTGCATGATGATTCTAGCATTTATTGACACCTTTTGGTGTGTTAAATTCCCTTTTGTTCAAGAATGGCTGCAAAAGAAGGCCACACATAATCTCCTTGCGTTTGAACACATGACTGTTCCTGACAGGGCCACAAAAGAAGGCCACACATAATCTTGCGTTTGAACACATGACTGTTCCTGACAGCTGGTTTGATTTGTGCTGTTCACTATGTTCTTTTAATTACTAGAAATCATTCTGCAACAGTATGCTTTTTTTAAAAATGGTTGTTGTGTGGCTTTGTCTTGCATTTTGCCATACTGTCAGGGTAGATGCTGCTTGCTGTTCCAGAGTCTGGTGTAAATCTGGGTTGGGACTGAAGTGAGCTGGTGTTGGGACAAGGGCTGATGCATTAGCCCATCTTTGATGTCTCTTTTAGGGAAAGGCAGCCAACATCCGTTTGGAGCCATGAATCTGCCCCAAATGCCGTCTGTAGCTCAGATCGGGATTTCCGTAGAGCTGCTGGAACTCTTGGCTCAGCAAACCCCTGTAGCAAGTGCTGCTGTATCGTCGGTCAATTCCTTCACAGAGGTAATTGGGAAGGCATTTGGATGCCACTAATTACTAGCACAGCAACATCTTCATTAATAGACCTTGACATATTGAACATGATCCAGTGAGACAAAAGTGGTACATGAATGTGTTTTCTTTCTTTAGACAAGCACTTGTTGAACTATGTCCTAAAGAATCTTGGGGGTTCTTAGAAAGGGATGGTAGCAATGGACAGACTCTGCTGAAAGGCAGCTATTCATTTATGCTGATCTATGTTTGAGGTGTGTAGTTTTAAAGGGTTTGTTCTCAGCAGAATTTGAAAATTTTACCTTTTTTTGGAGTAGAACTACCTGATCCTCGCAGCCATTCTGTTTTAAGAAAAGGAAGAGAGAGTTTCCAAGATTTGGTTCTAAAGCACAGTCTGTTTACACAAGAGTGAAGTATAACGCTGGGGAATGCTCAGTGTTGTTTATGGATTCCTTGTCAGATGGAAAGGGTCCTTGTGGAAACCCATAGCAATGGAGTATCTGGTGATCTAAGAAAGAGTTTACTAGTTCCTTTCAAGGTGCAAGATGTAGCCATCTCTTCAATTCATCTGCAATTAGTAGCTTGGATCCTGAACTAAGTGAGTGGAAGAAGGTTGCTGGGAGCAACATTTCTTGCCCCTTCTTCCAACTGGACCCTGGAAAGCTTTTCTGGGTGATGGGAATGGGGCTTCTGATCAATTTGAGAGGGAGCGCGGAAAGTAATGGAGAGGGGCAGAATCTGGAATTCTGTGTTGCCTCCTATCCATCCTGCATTATTCTTGAAACTCCCCTCTGCACAGCACAAAGGCTGGGATTCAGTAGAGGTTGGTGGCAGCTGTATTTATTTGTTTGTTTGTTTATTTGATTTATATCCCACCCATCTGGTCTATATGACCACTCTAGGCGGTCAGAGGAGACAGGAAACATGCCTTACATTTTACATGTCAATGTGTATGTATCCCATTGGTCAGAATCCAGTTGGGTTCACACAGCTGAAGCAGGCCGTTGTGCAAGCAAACCCATCTGCGCTGCTGATTGTCTCCCTCTGTTTCCTTGGTTCAGGCAAGCTGCTGCACCCTTGGTTGTGCTTTTTGGTTGCATAGCAGTTGGCAAACCAGCAAGAAGAAACCGCTGTACAATGTGTGAGATTTTTTTCTGGTAGAATTTTAGCCATTATGTTGCAAGGTGCATCCAACTGTATTTTTACAGCAACTGAGACTGGGGGTGTAAATCCTCCTTTGTCACGTGACAGTGCATTTAAATGGATTTTTAAGAAAACATTTAATATTTTTGGAAATTTAGACTGCATCAAACACAAATACCATTTTACTAATAGATTATTCGCCACAAAAAATCCCTCACATAATGAAATGGATTTTATTTGTAATTATATCATTCCCAGACATTTGCGGTATGAAATTAGTAGATTTTTAAAGATCTGTCTTAGAGCAAGTGGTTGTCTCTGTAATGAGATGCTATTTTTTAAATTGTTTTTAGTTTTGTATATTTTCTCTGTAAGATGGCCATGTCCTTTTTTAGAAAAAGATCTCTGAGAGATGTAACTATAACAAGAATAATATTACACTAAAAATAAAGCCATTGTAGCAAGTCAACATATTTTTATATGTGCTCAGCTTAATTCAAGAAGAATACTGAACATCATAGAAACGTTTCTGGTTTAGCTGCTTCTTTGATTTCCTGACTGTGTCTTTTTCATTAGTATGTGATCCCAGAGGCCTTTAAATTTAAACCATATAAAGCAGTGATGATGATTGCGTGCCATCAAGTTGATTCCAACGTATATTGACCTTTTCCAGTTTTCTAGGTAGAGGATACATAGAAGTGGTTTACCTTTCATTTCTTTTGGTGTGGGCGGTGCCCTATGACTGTATAGCTTACCCAAAGCCATGCAGACTGGCTCTTTTCCCTGAAGATTCATTCGGGAATCAAATTCCCAACTTCTGCCTCCACAGCTAGATACCTAAATTACTAAGCTATCCCACAAGCTTTTAAAACCATATATAGAATATTTTTATTATTCCCAAACTAAAATTGTCATTTCTAAAATGTTGGTTAAAATCTATTTGAAAATGAGCACATAAACTCATCACTTCTTCACTGCTTTGACATCTGGTGGCTGTTTGCAAATTACAGCAGTATAAAAGGTCTGTTTGGGAAAGACACCTTTCTAGACCAGAAGCACTCACACTGTGATGGTGGGGCTTCTCTTCCTTGCCTTTTTTTCCTCGTTGTGTTTGTTTCCATCTCCTTGCTGACATCTGGATGCAGTTTCCTGGTGTCCTGAACTTTTACTGAAACTAGCCATGAAGTGTCAGAAGGGTCAGTTTACCACCATTATACAGAAACTAGGGAGGTTCATAATTGGTCTTATATTCTGCTGATTATATCCAGTAGTTGTGAAGCAGAAAGCAGTTTACACAAACAAACATTCTTTCCCTTCCTCTTCTTAACCACTGCAGCCCCTGTAACCGTCCCAAAACCTGCTCAATAAGAGTGTAGGAACCTCCTGAAAAGTGAGGGCTCTGTCAAAGGGGAATGTACTGTGATGGGGGACCTTGTGGTGTCTTTGCATGATTTTATTCAGATCATATTTACATATAAAAAGATTGTTTCACCTTCAGAGTAGTGTTCTCTGCAATAGCTTAAAGTGTTTGGAAGAATTGACAATAGAGATTATTTTAATTGAATTATTGACTGTTTTTTTCTTGTTGTCTACTTTGTATTTCAGTTCACTCAAAAGATGCTAGACAACTTCTATAACTTCGCTTCATCTTTTGCTGTCACTCAGGCCCAAATGACACCCAACCCTTCAGAAGCTTTTATTCCTGCCAACGTAGTTCTGAAATGGTAAGGGGTAAATATGTCTTTATCATATGAGGTCTCGGCAGGACTAATACCTGTAGCAATAATATTTAAGTTCTCGCTAACTGTAAGAAAATAGCATGAACTGATCATATGAATATTAGTCAAGGATCTGAATATGTCAATCAAATATATTTCAATATATTAGCTGACCATTAGTCTAATATGTGAATACCTGTATCTAGCATTAGTAAAATATACATGGTGTATGACTAGTAGTGCAGTCCCATATTTCTCTTGTCAACAGCCATTCAGTTATGTGTGGCAACTATGATTTATCACCAGTTGAGCAGGCACATAAGGTTAAAAAAAACCCAGAGTTTTTTGTGTATTTTGACCACGGTAAGGCACAGGCCAGACTTGCAATTAGGCTAATTGAATAAAGCACCATGTGTCCCAGCACCTTGTACGACCACGAAAGAAACCAGCAGAGGTGGCTGAGGTTCCTGAGTCAAGGCAATGGCTCTCTGCCCCATCAGCTCCTTTTCTTAAATAGCGTGGTAGCACTGGTGGGGCTCAGAACATAATCATGGTGGGAGAGATGGTCTCTCTCCCCCTTCCCCCGTTTCATAGCACATGGATCTTCAGAAACCGTCTGTCCCATCATGCCTGAGTTCCAAGAACCCACCTCCCTGTTACCATCATTCAAGAAAATAAGATGGCAGTACAGAGTGTGAGTCTGTTGACTTGAGAAACCCAGCTGTTTCCCCTTGTTTCTCTTGTGTCAATGTGCTGGGACAAGAGGTTTTTTTTTTTTTTAAAAGACATTCATTATATGTGGGGGAGGGCACATGATGGTGGTTTGGCAGTGGGGAGGCACCAATTTGCTTGCCAGTGCAGACCATGGGCAAGCGTAGGCTGCCCCTAATTAGATATAGGTGGGCCAGCATATTAATAAACATTTTGATGGGCTAGTACCTTTTGCAGTCTTATTTGGAAGGCTTTCGTATACACAAACGTATAGAGTCATTGAAACTGCCCTCCAAAACTACCACAGAAGCTCTGATTGATCCCCGTGTGACTAAGTGCCTCTTGGTAAGATGTACTGTACATGGCTATAATGAGAGCATAAAACGATTGAGGGTTGGTTTGTTTTTTGCACCTTTGTTTGTTGTAAGTTAGAGCTGCACTGTGTAGCTGATTGATAGATTTTAAATAATTTTCTTCAGCAAAAACGAGACTGCCAGCTAATAATCAGTCAAAAAATTTAAAATAGTTTTCATTGTATTAAAAACCAGTTGCAAAAAGTACAGATGATGTTTGTCTTAGAAGCATGCTCTCCTGGGGGAGGAGGACTGACTCTTAATAAAGGTAAAGGTAAAGGTTCCCCTTGACAATTTTTGTCCAGTCGTGCTCGACTCTAGGGGGCGGTGCTCATCCCTGTTTCCAAGCCATAGAGCCAGCGTTTGTCCGAAGACAATTTTCCGTGGTCACATGGCCAGTGCGACTTAGACACGGAATGCTGTTACCTTCCCACCGAGGTGGTCCCTATTGATCTACTTGCATTTGCATGCTTTCGAACCGCTAGGTTGGCGGGAGCTGGGACAAGCGACGGGAGCTCACTCCGTCACGTGGATTCGCTCTTACGACTGCTTGGTCTTCTGACCCTGCAGCACAGGCTTCTGTGGTTTAGCCCACAGCGCCACCACGTCCCTTAATACACAGGGATAAAATGGAGAAACTAATGAACCATCTGTTCCAGGGGAGAGACTGTCAGACCATCCTGTACTGTTTTGCATTTGGTCAGGTTGTCTTGGTCTAATTGGAACTAAGTCCAAGATTTCCCATCCCTATGTCGTTCTTATGTTTCTTGGAGGCAGGACAGAATATTAGTAAGTCAGCAAATGTCATGCACTTATCTTGCTTAACTTGCTTATCAAGAGACACTTGCATATAGTCTTGGTATGAATAGGGATCTTATTTATAACAATCTGCAAGGGAGAAAATTGCTAAAGAACTGTATTCTTTCTTTAAGCACTCTAAACTATCAATCTTTCTGATTTTAGAAGTTCAGTGTGGCCCGGCCTTGTTAGTACTTTGATTGGAAACCACTTGGGAATACTAGGGATTTCGAGGCAGAACTAGGAAAAAGTCGTGCTAGAAACAATGGAAAGCTGCTGCCAGTCAAAAGTGATAAAACTGGGATAGATGGACCAAGTGTTTGACTCCATATGAGGTGTCTTTTTCTTTTTGTAGCAGACAAGCAAGAGCACCTCGTGTCATTTGTAGTTCATGGTGACCAGCACAGCTGTTTGAGGGAAGAAGCAGCCTTAGCAGAAAATTCGGTGAATCCTCTCTTTACATGTAAAGGGAAAGGATTTGTGCTAATTTCTAAAGGAATCATAGAATTATAGAACTGGAAGGGGCTGTCAGGAACGCGTCTCCTTAGGGCAAGAGTCATCAAGCCCAGCTCTCTGCAGGAGCACAAAATCCACCGATAAAGCAACCCTGACAGGTGGCTGTCCAATCTTTGTTGAAAACCTCCAGTGAGGGAGAATCCACTATTTCCCAAGGCTGTCTGTTCCACTGTTAAACAGCTCTTACTGTCAGGAATTTCTTTCTAATGTTTAATTGAAATTATCTCTTGTAGATTAGATCAGATCAAGTTTAATACGGTTACCTCTTGTAATTTAGGCCCATAACTCTGAGTCCTATCCTATAGAGCTGGAGAAAATGAGCTTGTGCCATCTTTTGCATAACACCCCTTTAAATCTTTGTAGGAGGAGCACATATTACGAAAATCAAATTAAAAAAATAGTATCACTAATCTGCTTTGGGGATGTGGTGGCGCTGTGGGTTAAACTGCAGAAGCCTCTGTGCTGCAAGGTCAGAAGACCAGCCATCGTAAGATCGAATCCATGCAATGGAGTGAGCTCCTGTTGCTTGTCCCAGCTCCTGCCAACCTAGCAGTTCGAAAGCATGCAAATGCAAGTAGATAAATAGGTACCACCTTGGTGGGAAGGTAATGGCGTTCCATATCTAGTTGCACTGGTCACGTGACCACGGAAGATTGTCTACGGACAAACACTGGCTCTATGGCTTGGAGATGGGGATGAGAACCGCGCCCTACAGTCCGACAGGACTGGACTAAATGTCAAGGGGAATCTTTACCTTTACCTAATCTGCTTTGATCAGACTTCATGTGGAATACTGTAGCCAGTTCTGGCATCACAGTTTATGAATAATATTGAGAAGCTGGAACATGTCCAGAGGAGGGAAGCTGGCATGATAAAATGTCTGGCAACCAAGTGTTGTTGGAGAAGTTACACACATTTATCCTAGAAAAGACATAGAGCTGACAAAATAGTCATCTGGAAAGTGTAGCCGAGTGACTAGATGGCTACAGTGGCTTTCATATGACATCACATTTTATTTATGCTAATCTTCCCTCTTCCTTTTTTTCCAGGTATGAGAATTTCCAAAGAAGACTAACTCAGAATCCTTTCTTTTGGAAAACATAGTCTTGAGTCAAGTTTTTTGAAATGCACTCTAACACCAGGCCATAACTTAAAAGTTACAGGAAGGTCAGCCTTATAAAGAAGATTTCAGTGGATCAATTATAAGTGTGAGAAGAAGAGGTGGAGGGGGGCGGGGTTGCCATTGCAGCTTTTGTAATAATTGGGGGATGTTGTTTGGAAATAAAGCCCTAAAAATAACATTGTTGTTTTTTAAAAAAAACTCAGATATCTTGATCTATATTCCATCCAAACAACTTATGAAATGCACACATAATTTTATCAGTGGGTTCATAAACAACAAGGTCAATTTCTTTTCTGTTGGTGTTGTTAATACTGTGTATAACAAACCCTATGCACAACCAAGGGGCTATACAGGTCCATTAGCAGCTTTTGTTTCAACAGTTGTCATGTTGAACAGATGTTTGTTGCCGGTCAGCTGGGTATTCCAATTCTGCCCTACCTGCTGCAGGTACTTTGTGGCACAGCATTTACATTGCTGCATGTTAGAACTTGTAGACCAGAGGGCCAAGGTCTGCACATGCTGACCTCAGACCTTGAGAGCTGCACTCACTCACATGCACCGTCCTCTCCCTAAACGTTTATTTCACAAAGTGCTGGTGTGTTTTAACTGGAGAAGTCTCCTGGCACCCTCTGGGCAACAACCAACACTGGTGGGTGGAGGGGCCAGAGATGTTGAGAGCAAAACATGGTAAAATTGCTTACTATAGACTACATGACCAAGGGGACAGAGTATTTTGAAACAAATCTAGAGCTGGGACAGGCTGATTGTGGCACAGAAGCCATACTTTGCCTACTCTATCTTGGATGTTGTGCTTCCTTACACCTGAGTCTTGGCCTCGCTTGAGAAGGAATGGTTCTCTGGCAGAGGCTGGGTTGCCCTAAAGCAGAGGCGGGCAATGTAATGTTTATCTTCTGTAGTTGCTGTTGGCTGCAACCAGAGTAAATCTTTCCTTTGTTCATATCAGAGCATTGCACAATTCAGAATTACGAACACATATGAAATATAATCAAAATCAAAAACCAATTAAAATGTCAAGACAATTGGACTGTTTTTGACCATTTGTCCATGGTGGGTTGGTCCATGAAGTATCTGGATTTGGTACTGTTCTAGTGCAAAGGCTTCTGGAAGTGAAGGATTTGCCAGCTGCGTGCCACTGTCCAGGTGGATGCCCAAGTATACTGTACTCCCAAAATTTGCCCACTCTTTGGGGAGGCTCCTTCTGTGTCCCCCAACTACGAGGGGTCCTGATGATCACTGCAATCCTTAAACAGCTTGGACCATGATGAGGTAAAAATAATACAGTGACTCGTAAGTCTCTTTTCAACAACCTGTAACATGTAGGGAGTCCATGACCAACGAAAGGCACCCCCTGAAATTGCTTGACCCCATGAGCAGTCCCTGTTGTAATGAAGCGACATCTCGAAAATAGTAGGACTGGAAGACAAAATTTTGTGTCCTACAGTAATGCTTCCTAGTTAATTTCAAAAAAGATCGTTAAAGGGCATTGCAAGACATTTTTGAGTCTGTCTTTGGTGAGTCAGTCCACTTCATATTAGTTCGCTAGTTAGTCCCACTTTATGGCCACTGAGCTCAAGGCACCCTGCAGGCATCTCCACCTCCCTCCTTTTATTGTCACAGGCCAGGCTGAGAGCCAGAGGTGACCCAAGGTGAGAATTTGAATCTGGATCCCCAGAGTCGCAATAATGTCAATATTTAAATGCTCACAACGACATTCTGTCACGTTAAAGCGACCCTTTCCCTAAATTTGGAGAGCCGCCTACCGAAGCCCGCCTCGGATGTTTCTTATTTGCTGCTCCTCCTGCCAATCACCGGCCTCTCTTCACTTGCAAGAGAATGTGATGGGGGCAATTCCTGCAAAGATGGGAGGGGCACTTCTGTTGTGACGTCAGCCATAGCAACAGTTCAGGGAGTCCGCGTCCTAGCAACGGGCCCCGCCTCTCCCGTCCCTGGCCCCTCCCCTTCGCGGAGAGAATGCTCTCCTCCTCTTTTCTCTCTCGCCTTTTAAGAAGCCGGTTATTATTTTTTCCTCTGATGAAGAACGGGGAGGAGAAAGAACACGGAGGCGAGCTTTGGAAATTTGTGCTTTAAAGTCAGATGAGCAGGAAAGGGGGTCTGGAAAAGTGCATGACTTCCCCCCTTTCCCTCGCAGCGACGAACCTCCAAAGGGCAACGCAGTCTACCTGTTTTTTCCTCTCGCTTTCTGCTCTTTTCAAGTTGGAGGGAAGGAGGCGAACATGCTGGACAGCATCCACGCGGCCATCCTAGAGGGTGGCAGGAAAGTGTTTCTAACCCTTCCTAAACTCACTTCGGAGGGTAAGCGGCTTTTGGTTATTTCGCTTGCGGCACTTTTCAAAAGTCCCGTGGAGAACTGCGTCTCTGGGAAAGCTTCATGTTTGGATCATCTTTCCGAAAAGCTCTCAAGCCAGTTTTCCAAGCCTTCCTCCATGGAGGAGCGGGAGGAAAATTTTTAATTTCCCAATATTGTGAAGGGGCTAAGCGGTCTCCTTAAGCCACTTAAGGATATCAGAAAATTAAAAAAAACAGACGGAAATTTAAATCAGCAAATTCTGCTTTGGCTTGATCACAGCAATCATAGTGATACGGGGAGATAAGGAAACTATTTTAACATAACTACTGCAATCTACTGCAACTATATGTGCTGACAATGCTTGGAAGTTTCTCTGTGTATCTCTATGTACTTATGAAGCATAAACACTGTTCTGTATCTATATCACAAGCTCTCTTGATGTACTCTAATATATCTCAAATGTACTTGATGTACTGTAACATAACTGTACTATATATTTGTATTATCACTTCTGATGTAGCTTACCTAAAATGTACTTAGACTGTATATCTACAGCTTGCATTCCTGCAATACCCTCTTAAAACAGGGACTGATTCTACCCACATTCAGAAAAGTACAGTAGGAACCGCTCTAGTGATGGGCTGATCCATGGTGGCATTTATGTTGTCTGTCCTCAGGGAAAGGAGTGAACCAACCTGTCCCTACAGCCAAACAGCATGACAACTTGCCTGTGTAGTCACCCCCTTATCTGCATGTATACATGGATTTAAGCCTCTCTCGCCTAGAAAATGATAAGTCCAGTCTCTGTCACGAAAGCAGAGTGGGGGAACCAAACACCTAAACCACCAGAAGTTCAATGAAGAACTTGCTGAAAATGCTCCGAAGTCCAGTCTCTGTCACAAAAGCAGAGTGGGGGGAACCGAGCTCCTAACCAGATGCCCAAACCACCAGCAGTTCAATGAAGAACTTGCTGAAAATGCTCAGTGTGTGTGATCTTCCTGCAGTAACATTTCACAGGACTAAGGTTATTGTATAAGAAATATGTTTTCTACTTTTGCAAAGTTTTTATTATCGATCTTCCGGCAGTAACATTTTACAGGACTAAGGTTATTGTATAATAAATATGCAATGTTTTTTTTTCCACATTTCAGAGATCCTTAGCATTTGGGCCGCGGTTTCTGAATTTGTGGGAAAGCAGCTCTCCATGAATAAGGTGGAATCCTGCACAGTTTATTTCTTCTGCTGGAATTGTTGTGTTATGAATGATTCAACCCCTTTTTCATCTTGGTGAAGACGGCTTCATTCTGGTTCTACTTTTATTTGTTTGTTTATAATGATGATGATGATGATGATGATGATGATGATGATGATGATGATGATGATGATGAACCTGTGTGGTCAAGTCAATTCTGACTTATGGTGCCCTTTTTCAGAGTTTTCTAGGTAGAGAATATTCAGAAGGAGTTTAACTCTTCCCTCTTTATGGAGGCGCCCTGGAGCTGTGCAGCTTACCCAAAGCCACACAGGCTGGCTCTACTTGCATATAAGCGATCATGGACAGGATAGTGGCTTTTCTGCTGATTTTGAGTCTGATATAATAACTGAAACAGGAGCTTCCAGTTTGTAGCTTGTGACCTTGGCCAGCTTTTGATTTCTTTTTTCAGGGGGTCTTGATACCAGGACTGGGGACCTTCTCCTTTCTGAGGCAGAAGCTTCAACTTGGCAATAACAAGCATACCCTCCTGCAACGGCCTGTCTTCCTTCTGTCGGAGAAACTGGCACAGATTCATGGGCTGAAATTTAACAAAATACACACTCCGGGTAAGAGATTGGTTTGCAGTGCAATGCTTTATCTGGTACCAGGGTGTGCAAGTTATGTGCTCAGCAATAAGCTTACTCTACAGTAAAGAAAACATACTCCTCAAAAGGCAGGCCGGAGCTGTGATGTAATGTTATTATAATGTTGGTAAAAGGAAAGGGGGAAAAAGAAAGATGGGGAGGTTAAATATTGTGGCACTATATGGAAGTGAGAGCTGGACCATAAAGAAAGCTGACCACCAAAGAATTGATGATTTTGAATTGTGGTGCTAGAGGAGACTCTTGAGAGTCCCATGGACTGCAAGGAGAACAAACCTATC